GAACCAATGAGAGATTTTACTGAGCGTCTCTGTGGTTAATTAGCTCTTTCCCCACGAAACAACCTCACGATCATATCTGATCTCCTTTTATCAGCGTTTTTTAAATCCCTTGAAATACACTTCTATTTTTCGCTCTTTTCTATTTGACAATTGACATTGACAAGAGATATAAAATTAACACTTTTGAAGAAGAACCTTGGCTGCTATTTTTTTTCTACCTGCAGCTATCTGCGATTCGAGGGAGCTTCAAGATAGGCTGAGGGAAGTGTGGGACAGGCGGGAGGAGTTACGAAACGCTGTAAAACAAAACAACACCGTTCCGAACCTCATCCGCGGTCATAGCTCCTCTCGACGAAGAAAGTGAGTTGTCCGATCGTTGGTGGGAGGGAGTTGAACCATTCCCTTAGATGGTCCATCTTTTTCAAACTGCCACTAGTCGTGAATGCGCACTTGACACCGTCATGTCAGGTGGTTTTATCATAAGTCAAAAATTTTTTTATACTATCCAGTCTTCCACGTTCTTCAACCACATTCACCACATTCTACCTCCCCCCTACCACAGTTCCATTCAGTACCTCATAAAATCGCCTTCTGAAGGGACACTTCTCATTTCACCTCATCCGTCGATCGTTCAAAGCCTCAGAGGCAGTCATGATGAAAAAAATACTTAATGAGTAACAACACATCTGCTTCACTCTTCAAAAGGCGTCGTACTTCTGCTCGATGACATATTAGGTAACCACTCAGCATTTATCACCTTCTGCTAGTAAATTTTATCGTCGTGGTGATGTGATTACACCTATATTTAGCGGCGAGGTATTTTTACCTCCACAGAAACAAAAAAGCACATTTAATAATGGATTTTGGTTGTAAAAAAGGGCTTTAGGTAGGCGGAATTCAATGACTAAGTGTAGTGTTTGTGTTGGCAATCCTCTCTGGCTCGTAAAACAATTGACTCCCTGGTTGGCATGCCACTGCATTATACGAGTCTTGGGGGAGGACGCATAATACCTCACAAATCCCTCCCTGGTTCACTTTTCCAGAAGCTTCCTTTGCACGACCAATTTTCAGCCAATCAGGAGTGTCTCATATCGCTATAGGGTCAAGGCCAATCGAGGTACTGCAAACAGGAGAGAATGGGACTGGGTGCGGATCCAAACTCACGTATATACGCGCCTAGCACATAAAAATGTTCCGACCCCATTGGCTGAAATGCAGATGCGTTGAGGCCAGACCGTTTGACAGCTAATTTTGCTGGTGTCACATGCCACCTCCAATGCACAGTTTGGATGAATAGCTCTGTTCTTTTTTAGCGGAGAACAAAGTCATATTCTATCGCTTTGGCACACATGGGGGGAGAGGTTCGTGACTTTTATCACTACCACATCCTGAGGTGAAGAAAACCACCTCAGTTGTCTGTTTAATGACCTAGCGCGCTAGCCTTGTCCCATTACAGCTTGATGACCCGGTCTGGCGGATGGTGGTCAATTGGACAAAGGGATGCTCAAAAGAGTTTACAATTAAGCAATCGACAGTGGTTCCATTAATACATCAGCCAATCAGTGCAAGTCTGGTTCACAAAACTACTGCTGCTGGGAACTTGTCCTGAAAATCGCATCCGCCATGTTCCCTAACGTGATTGTTTTCCTAAATCCACGAGGATCACTTCCACTTTTTTAACCCCCTCGATTAATCGCCGTATCACTGTCAGCTTTTGTTTTTTTCAGATAAAATAGAAAAATTCAGTACTCCAAGTTTTTACAAAGGCATATGAAGTGACCCAAGACCGCGGTAACACTACGACATGTCCTTTTAAGATCTGGCCCCTTGACCTTAAGTTCACGTCGATGATTATCTGTTAAATTTAATCACACACGGACGGGTGGATATACATTAAGAAGAAACTAACATTTTTATAAATAAACTGAGCTTTGCATTCATTTCGCCTGCCAAGTTGATTGTGATAATGAATTGCAGTAATACGTCGATCCTGCGAACATCGATGCGAGACAAGCGTCGGTTGACTCAAACAGACGCGGAGCGCGAGAAACAGTTGGGCGAACAAGTCGAAGCGAAATTGGTGAGTGAGGCAGAGAAGACTGGATCAACAGAAGAAATCGTCCGACCACCACCGAATCTCCAAGGTATTGTCAACTCCATCGTCAACTCCGCCTCAACCAATGGTGGCGCTACCCCCACTAACTCCCGCCACATCCCCGCAATCGCTATTGACCATCGCTCCAGTCCCGAAATCAATGGTGTTGATTCGCTTACTGCTCGTAGAGGCAATAATAATGCTAATGCGGCTCCCGCTGTACCCCCTCGTCATCCCCGGGTAAGCTATTGCCCTCTATCTCTTGATTCCCTAATTGTTGGAGGGCTCGGAAAAATATTTTTGGTGTACAGACTTCCTGCCAGATGGCTAAGAGTCCACAGAACGTTCAAAATGAAGCGTTTCACTTACCAGATAAATGTTCACAGGAATGACGGTTGAGGACGAGGGCATGGCTTGAAAAAAAGGAGGAAATTGCTCTTTTGTCAACACACGGAGAGCTGGAAGGCTACAAATGTACACTTAGTGATAACATTATTGTCTTTATTAAGAGTACAAAACCAGGCGATGCTTGGTTAGTATCACCACAGGCAGCACCAGCAGCAACGAATTCGTCGCCGTCCACCTCGACAGCCTCCACAAGGGACACCTCCTCTTCAACGGAGTCACCGTCGGAGTCTAGTGACTCACAAGCGAGGTACGTACGCCCGATGCATCGTAAAGCTAACGGTCAAATGGTTCCAGTGAGTGTGGAGTCGATGCGACCTCCATCGAGCCAACGGTCGCGGCCAAATCCACCGACACGGGATAATCGAAGTCGGACCCCACGACGCTCCAACGCCTCCCCCGCCACCACTATTAGTGGATCAGCAGTGGCAGTGGTAGGGCAGAATCAAAGGACTAAAGGTTCGCCTTCCGGCTCCCTTTTGCGGCAAGGGCCGTTGCCTCCCCACGAGACCGGCACCGTTCCCTCCTTCCACCGCTCTACCGACACACTCAACTCCAACTACAGTGGTAGGCACAGAGCCTTCGCCTGTTGCCATACCATGTGATCGTGTTAGTAAGGCTGATTATCACCACTCCGCTTCACCCATTCTGATAGACACACTCAAACACCGTGTATTTAGAGATCATCCACGACCGACGTTGAGGTGGCGCAACTTTTGCCCTCAATTGGCGCGCTTTTCCTCCTTCTTTCTATTCCCCTCTTTTTGACACTTGTAAAAGTTATATATTTTTTCGTATCTACCAAGTCTGTTCCTGTGTAGGTGTAGAGACGAATTTGGGCAAAATTATCATAAACTATGCGAAACCATAGCAACTCCAAACGTTTGGGGGCAAACCTAATTGACAAAATGGTGAACTTCTTTGGTGATGGATGAGTTGAAAATGTAGGGCAGGTCCTGGCTGGGGCATCCATAATTTAAAA